CTGTTTTTTTATTCGGGGCACATTCTCCTCGCGTTCTTTTTCTACTTCAGCACAATACACAGCACTTTACGCTGAGCCTTTAGAACAATGAAATGGAATACAGCATATCTGTCTTCCGCTCGCCGTCTTTGCGTAATTGAGTTGTTTTGCCGTGAAGTCCACTCGGTGTTTGCATACCGTGTTTCCTCGAATAATAGCCGAGGGGGCGATTATTCTATTTTTCGCCTAAAAGAGTGGCGATTACTCTAGGGGCGGTAATCATTCAGCGATTATTCAGCGATTATTCAAGGAAACACGGTACTTGTATTCAGTATCGCACCGAATGCAGTTTTTCTTGTCGTTTTGTTAATCTTTGTACATAGTTCACAGTTGATACTACAGTTTGATCAAGGTAGCAGTTTACCCACAAATCTCGCCTACCTAGCGCTGATTCGTAAATTCCACGCATGGGCAATGTGCAATATCCGTCCAGACTCCCCCGGCTGGCGGCACTTGAGTGCGGCGCTCATGATAGATAGGAAGCGGTTACACACTTGTGCCAAGTAAAATAAAACCACACTGAAAAGATAAACGCCGTTAGAGTCATGATGGGCATGGCATTTTTTTCGGTGACGAATGATGCGTGGAATCTTGTTTTTCGAGGCAAGGCCAATTAAAGGTCAAAGCTGCGGTAAGAGCATTGCGTTGAAATCGATACAATCAGATATCTTTGTGTGTGTCATGTGTGTGTGTACGTGTTTGTGCGAGGCAGTTTGGAGGGGGGCAAAATACTTTATCATCGTATATAGTAACACGTTTTCGCCTTAAACGTGTTTGTCGCCGTTTGATGGTCTGGGATAAATTTTTTATACAAACGATTTTCCAACTCCGTTTGAGCTATGTGCGTGGCAATAAATCTACTGATACTTGATAACCGAGTTTTTTAGACGAGTAGAAAAGGGCCAGAAGACACGCCCTTTCCCTTATTATCTAGCACGCTCCGCCTTTAGGACAGATTGATAGTTGATATCGATTGTCGAACAGCACGTCCCCCCCGTCTTCATTCTCAAGAACGAAATAAATGACTGTGTATTAGCTATTGCCGCAGATAAAACCTGAGATCGACTGTTTAAAATGAAGAGACATGAGCGTTAGCTCTCGAAATGTCTCTAAAATTTGATTCCAAGACCGCCAGAAGCAAGCTTCAGAGCACGAGCCGCGAGGGGCCTGGTGTTTAACAGGATTATTTCCAGGCCATTGACGTTGAGTGATGTTCTCATGGTTACAACCTCGAGTTTTTGCTAAGTTTCATAAGAAGACGCGTGATTATCGCAACAAAAGAGCTTGTATTATTTCCATAATAAACCTGGCGGCTCCCTTTCGGAGAGGGAATATTTACAGGTGGTTTGTGGTTTACCATCAAGGACGTATTGTTTTTAAAAACAAGTGATGTATTTCTTGAGATCCGTTTGTATGCTTTGCGCCACTTTGCGTGACAATTTTTTTTGTATCGGAAGTACAATGTCCGCTCATGTGGGAAACATAGCACATCATTGCATGCAACTTAAGTAATATTACGTTTCATGATAAAATACACGTCTCACGCCAACAGGGCGCGTTTGTGCGTAGCCTGCCACGGTTGTATAAAGACAGCCTGGGGGAACTTTTCGCTATATTTTGTGGGAAATTAGTTTTAAAACTGCTGTGTGTCAAAAAAGTAAATTATACTTTGTACTCTTTCCTAATTCCTTGTTGTTTACAGACTTTTGTCTGAAAACAGACAACCGGAATCTGCAAGGATTTCACGCATGCAAATAAAGGACAAACAACGTGGCTTGATTCAGCATTTTTTGATTTGCGCATGCCCACATTGTGTATTTGCTTGTTCAGTTGGGGCTGGGTTCAAACAAAGATCAGCGATAATACTGCTGATGACATGTTGTGCAATACTGTGAAGGATACAGTATTTTAATTTACTGTGACCGGCAAAGCTTTCGTAATTATCTTGAGTTTATACAAGTGAAAAAATCGTGACAGACAATTGCGTTGGCGTTGTCAGCCTTGTTGACAAGAAACTCATTTGCGCCGTTGTTTCAGAGCTGAAACGCTTCCTTTTGAGAATTTGATCCGAATTTGCATGTTCAAATTTCCTAAAATAAAGCGTAAACACGCCACAGATGATTCAAATTCTTGCCCTGTGTTAGTGGATATTGGGCAATGTCTGCACTGGGATCAAATGACGCCATTTGACAATAGCATATTCATTACAAATGGGATTTGTTTCAAATGCAATTTACTGTATCCGGTACTGAGGCACTGAACCATGGACGTCCACATATTAATTTTGTGTTATTTTCCGGAAAGAAAGCTTATGTAAACTTACGCAAGGGCGGTGCGGTTTTGTTTTGTGTTCGTTCGTTTGCCTGGGGTTGGTAACCGTGGAAATGTTGACGTCACCAAACGACATTCTATACATTATTTACGTGCGTAAGTCCTTTTGTTTCGCGGAACACGTTGCAATAATACTTTCCTTATTTCTTTTCTGTGTTGCTTGTCATTACGCTAGGTGTTCAGTGTTCAGAATAGTTAGTAAATTTAGGATTTTGCCCTTTTTCGGCTGAGTTAGCTTCCCTGCCAAGCCTATCCTGTGTGTAGGGTGATATTTTCCTCGTGAAATCGCGAAGGAAGTGGTGTGTTGATCATGTGATCATCATGCTAAGTGAGTAGACACGAAAATGAATATTCAATTTGTTGGCTACGTTTCTTAATAGAGATTGCATCATCGTTTTTGGTAGAAATATTCCAAGTCCTTCGATGGAATGACGTTTCAGAACGCTAAAATAAAGTATGGTCAGTTCTTTCCTCCACAAAGATTAGTTCTGGTGTGCTGCGTTGCGTAATTTATCAAACTTTATCCGCCCCGCCCTGTCAATTTATGTACTTCGTGATTCATCGACTGTTGTGACGTCACAGGAAGTGTGTGTGAGTTCACTCATTGTTTTGACGTATTGCCTTGGAGCGCGGTTCGGTCACTGATATGATAATTTCTCAACGAGCCTAAATTTAGACTTTTAGAGAGCTCATGGGGTGATCGAATTTCGCGTCACATATTTATTTGATGGCAATTGTTTGAACTCGTTCTTCGTTCCGTGGATTAGCGTTCTGGGCCTTTCTATTGGGAATTTTCCGATACGGTTCCCCGATTTCCTAGTAATCAAGGACGAGAGATTTTTATGAGCACACGTGCCTTGAATAACGTAATACGGCCACATCGATCGACCAAAGCCAACAGCGGTGACAGTATCAACATTTTACAGTGGTGTTGGTGATGAAGAAGGAACTGGAGATAATCAGACCAGAGAATTCATATTCCATGCTTGGGGAACAATAGCTTCAGATACTACTGAATAGCAATTTAACAAAACGCCTGCGAAATTTCAATTCCTCTGAACTCGAGCTGTTCGTCGAAAATGTCGACTCCTCGCTTCCATCGTCAGCACTGCTTCTTATGCGATCTTCCTCACTCTCCTTGGGCAATTTTGCAGGATTTTTCGGAACCTGTTTGCCGTGGTTGTTGTAACTACGAAGGCCCTGACCGAATTGAAGATGTTATACATTATTCTAGGATTTTAAGGCGAACATGGGAAAATAACGAGGCCAACAGGAGTCGAGGAGTAAAAACAGAGCGACTTAATTCGGCGGGATCGTCTGTATCTTCAACTCCTAGTCCGCCACCCGCTAACGGTACTAACTACCCGCCGCAATTTTCAGAGCAAAGAAAAGCCGCTGGTAAACTTCAGAATCCTCACAGAATTGGGGAGGAAGGAATGGAAAATTCACACGGGCACGGGAACGGCGAGGCTGTAAATGGACCGGGCTCGAAAGTAACTCGACCTCCAGGAAATATTGGTTCTCGCGAAATGGAAAGACGAGGCTCTGGTTTCAACATCGAAGACGCGAGGCATGCAAACGGAAATGCGTTACAAAGACTCCATCCACCCTTGACCCCGAATGGACCTCAACAAAATTTTGTAGTTGATGGCCCCCGGCCAGAACTTATACGGGAAACTCTGACCACCTTGAACAGGTCTTGTCCGTTTGATATCAGGTTCAAGAAAGATTATGCTTTCGTTGGCCGTGTGTTTGCTTTCGATGTCAGCTGTAAGCCTGGGATTGACTACGAACTTAAGATTTTCATCGAGTACCCCCGAGGATCTGGTTGTGTTTTTCAAAGTGCATCTGGAGTGGCGAAACAGATGTACACGGAGTCTTTGAAGGAAATGGCAAAGCCTCTTTCCTCTGGGTTCAAATACTTGGAATACGAAAAAGATCGTTCGAAAGGAGAGTGGCGATTGCTGGGAGATTTTCTTCCTGAACCCGTGCGTTTGTTCAAGGAATCTGTTAATCCTGAATTTCTGGCCAAACCTCAACTAGATGCTGAATTTCCAGTCTTACCCAATGTGAATCTCAGCTTTAATCGGTCAGGCCCTGCTTATGGTCGAAAGCGTAAAGGTGCAATTGATTTGGAAGAATTTGAAGTTGCTGCTGGGAAGCGTGCAGGGGCCATGCATGGGCGCATGACACGCGATGACACCTTGCATAGTGTGTGGATGCCAAACCAATCAGCTGATGCTGTCAAATTAGCAGTTCATGTCCCAGGAGCACCACTGCCTCCAGGAACACCTGTCAGTTCCATACCATCTGCGTCAGTTCCACCAATGGTCTCCCTTGCAGTATCCAAGGGTGCCTCTAGCTTGTCAGTCTCTGAACACGCCCGTGCTCAAGTTAAATCACCCATGGGCACCATGATGAACCGGTTTGAATTACCTCCCAGTTCAGTGCTTCGTGAAGACTCCAGAAATGGCCCAAATGCTCTTGTGGCTGGTTCACCTGGCGCCGAGCGACTATCACCACGACCACATCAATCACCACGACCCTTACCAAACTCTGGTGGAGCGAAAGGTGTGGATGCTCCAGGTGAAGGAGAAGTCAAAGGACGGGGCACCACTGTGAATATTTTAACATGCAGCCTTTGTCGTGACAAGTTGGAAGACACTCACTTTGTACAGTGCCCGTCAGTAGGTCACCACAAGTTCTGTTTCCCCTGTTCACGGGAGAGTATTAAAAAGCAGGGAGCAGGTTCAGAAGTCTTCTGTCCCAGTGGTGAGAGGTGCCCCTTACAAGGAAGCGATCTACCCTGGGCATTTATGCAAGGAGAAATTGCAACTATTCTTGGAACTGAGTATGCTGTAAAAAAGGAGAAAGAAACATAATTGAATGTTTTCATCAGACTGTAATAAAATATATATATCACAGGAAGCAAATTTAGTTTTGGTAAAAACAATGTCGTGGTGTGTACATGTTTTGGTACTTTCATTGCACATATTGTTCCAAATAGAAATTCCATCTGCATTCGTGACAATCTCCGTGTAGGAACATTAGGAACATTTTTTTGTGTTTGTTATTTTGTGCATCTTATGCTGTAGTAAATCGGTGTCAAGATTTAGAGCAAGGTGCTAGTGCAGCTGAAGGTGGCATGATTTTCAAAAATAAAGAGAAGTTGTTTTTGACAACTAAGCTTCTATGAAATCACTCTACTATTGTATGTCTAAAAGAATGTTTTTGCCAAGTTCTTGAGAAGTTTTTTATGAGGCAACACATTTACTGTTGTCAGGGTGACATGAATTGATGCTACTTTAGTTTGGAATTGTGTGACTTGTGCAGTTCCATGTGCACTTCATCTTTCATTGTTACGTGCCAATTGTCAAGGCAATGGTGGCAAAATCTAGGGTTTTATAGTGTGTTTATTAGTAGCAAATTAAAAGTAAACAGTGCTGTAAATTACTGCAAAGCTAAACATTTTATTTTTACAAGATCAACTTTCAGTTGATTCTCTTGTACACTGTGTAGCTCCTCTGCAGTGAGTTATTGTGTAAATGTGGAAAATAGCTTTTGTTTATAAATATATGAAAGCTAAGAACTAGCTGAGGAACTTTCTTTTGAAAACTGAGGAACTTCATATTCTTTCCAGGAAATGAATACTAATTGTGAAAAAATTTCATGTCAATCTTGAAAATTAATGACTGAAAACTGTATATAACTAACATGTTAGTCTTGTCATTTACCATAGTTCAGTCATCTTTCTTAGTAAAGGGATGCTCAACATACTTTTCTTTTAAATGGATTGAATTCTTACAAATACAGTTGTATGATTAAGTGCTTTTTAATCCTTGTGTTAAGGTAGTGATATGACATCAGATGTCATTAGGGATGCTGCCAAGTGCTGGCTACTGTATTTCACTGGCTGAAAGAAAAGCTAAATCTGTCCGAAATTTCACACAAAAACAAAGACTTGGTCAACTGTGGAACTGCGAAGGCCTGAATAGCCTGTTTGTTAATGAGCCGGCTGAGTGTTTCCTTTGCTACATCCCTGTGTCATTTTGGTGTGAAAATGATTTTGAATGTCAGATTGTGTTAACTGTTTGTCGTGAATTAAAGGTGTGTCTGTCAGATGATGTTAGAGTTGGGTCATTACTGAAATAATCTAAACTTAGTGTTAGACTGTCTTAATGGGCCAATTTTGATATTATATTAAACTTCTAGCTTGACTCCAAGGCTTGCAGAAATAAAACAAAAGAAAATAGTTATTCATCCCTTGGCCTCAATGAGATTTGTTTTGTTTATTTCCTCAAGCCTTGGAGCCAAGTTAGAATTTTAATACAGTATATTAAAAATGGCCTATTGTTCAATGTCAGTGTTGTTGTCCAACCAGTGATGCAGCAACAGCCATTTTACTATTAGTGGCACTTCAGGCATGCACTGTGGAAGTCAAGTGTCTTGTTCAGGCACCCAACAACCCTGGCCAGGGTGATCTGAGTTCAGGGAGCTAACCATAGGGCCCTTGAAATTTGTGAGCAATATAGAGCTTTTGTCCAGCAGACCTGATATTACATAAATAGTGAATTTGGAAAGCTGAATTTCCACTTCAAAATAGATTCAGACTTGGCATTTCACTTGTTTGAGACAACAATGGTGTTACATGTGAAATCCCAGGAGCAATGTTCCCAAATATTGTGTGGGTCCAAAAAATATTAATAGCCATTCCCATGGATGGTTCTTGGCTTGAATGTCCTCCCCTATTCCTATGGAAATTCCAGCTGAAACCAGCATTCACCTGAGAATTCCCATTAGTCTTCTTTCTGGTGGGTGCACAAAGAAGCATGTAAAACTGCACATTGCAAAGAAGTATTGACTTCATAATCACTTTGCACTGGTACTATGGAGCATGCCGCTTCGATTACAGTTGACCCTCTCCACAAATGCCACCTAGTGGGCAAATTACCAAAGTGGCTGTTATGGGGAGGTAATGTGACACCTGTTTTTTTTTTTTTTCAAAAGAATGCTTATTTTAGCATGTATAAATCAAAATTTATCAATAAAACAAACACTTAACAGAAACGGAGACCAGTGACACACAGCATGGATCGAGTTGGGTGACCCTTAACAATAAAAGATGGGGTTTTGTATACACCATCTGTTTTGATCTTTTTCAAATGATCATGGAATGATCCCAACCAATGCAGAAATCTGCAATCAATCAGGCTGCAAATTGGACACATTTCCTACTTTGTTGATTCCCTGACTATGACTGATCTGATTTACAACTTGTCAAACACTTACATTGACATATGGAACAGACTGGCTAAATTGCTTTGCTTGTCATATAATTGGCAGGCATTTAGTAATTGTTTAGGTAAGAGTTAACTAAAAATCAATAGTCAATTAAAATGCATTTTAAATGCTCTCAAACAGCTGAGAAACAACACCATATTGACAGCATGTGGTGATAAATGTAGACCTGACGGCTCTTTGTTATCATTTTCTTTGATATCTATTTCAGCGATAATGTTCCTTAGTTATCCTTTGACAGTGCCGCTACCATTTTGACCAAGTGATCCGTGTCTAGACCACCAAGCTCTTATAACAAGGATTATAATTTGATAAATGGTTATAAGGAAGGATTGTGGGAGGCATTGTGGCGTTGTAGTTAGTGTACTGGATTCTGCATGGAGTGGTATGGGGTCATGTTCTAGCCGGGGTAATGATATTGTGCTGTGTTCTTGAACAAGACACTTTACCCTCACAGTGCCTCTCTCTACACTGGTGTGTAAATGCTTACTAAGGAATTTAATACCTGGGAATAACCCTGTGATGGACTAGCATTACATCCAGGAGGGATCCTATTTGCCTCATGCTTCTGAAATTGGAGATAAAAGCAGTTCTGAGGCTTAAATGCAGAGTTGTTTAACCTGAAAACTCCCAGTATGAAATGGAAAAGGGCTTTAAATACTGAGACAGTTACTGAAGAGTTACTATTAAGACTCGAGAAGATTGTCTAAATATTCATCAATAATGCCTGGGCTGTCATCATCTGCCTCATTACAATAGCGATTGACTTTCACAATGCCCACAAATTTGTGTGATCTTATTTGACTCTCCCACGATTGAAGTTGCAAGCTATGATGTACAATGATTGAAAAGAATAATTTAGTGTTTTCTTTTTTCCAGTTTTAGCAATCCAGTTCTTCCATTGAGGTCAGAAACTGTAGCGCTATCAAATGATGTTGGAAAAATCAAAACTGAGTTAAGGGATATTCTTACTGTAAGTACCAAATAGTTGCTGTTCTTAGTAACGTAATACCATAATTTTTATAGCAAGATGTCAGCAAATTAAAGAAAGGTTTGCTAATTATTTTAACAGGCCTGCCAATTGCAGGGAACTTCCTGGATTGATCAACCATCCCCTGTTGATTGTGGTATTCTCATGTCATATTGGCTCAATTTGATGACTTCTCTTTTTTGGATGTGTTGCAATATTGATGTTTGTAGTTTTCCATCTCATTTTGAAAAATCTCCTGATTGCCATTTCCCTAAATGGGGATAATTCTAGGGAAAAAAAAAACAAGCTAGCTTAAGATGTGAAGGAAACATAACTGAAGGATATTGGTTCAACTTTTAGTGTTAGTTCAGTGTCTAAAGTGTTTAGTAGTTTTTGTAATGAACCACCTCTTTAAACTACAATGAAAGGACTCTGACCGAACTGACTCAACATCCCAATAAATGTACTGCTCTTGAAAATGTGTGCTTATGGGCTGTTTTATTTAACATTTTAATAATAGACTTTAAGGTGTATCTGTTGCAAACTAAGTGTACAATGTTGTCAAAAATTTGTATCACTGATTGACATAGGAGACAGAGAGGCTTAAACAAGAGTTAGTTCAACATCAACTAGCAAAGGTAAGTAATTGTAACAATTGAGTGTTGACTATTGACTGATACTGTATGTCAACTGATGAGATGAGTTTACATATTTGTGGTTGTGTTGGGTTGGTATTGACTAAGCATCTGTTGGCCATTGTTTTGTAACCTATATAATTATACTTCTAAAATTTCAAGGACACTATAAACTGGGACTGAAGCACGTCTAGGCACCATGCATGGAGGATTCTTAAAAATAACATCTTGTCTAAATAATGCTCCACTTATTGAAACCAAAATATGCTGTTAAGGGATCATTTTTTCCCTCTTGTTTTTTTTTTTTCGTATTTTTATAGGATGATGTTCCTTCTCATTTGTTACCAACTAGACACACTGGCCCATCACCTCTAGATGAATATTTGGTATGTGTGTTAAGTAACTCATTACAATCAACAATTATTTCATTACTTATAATTTACACCATCGAAAAGCTGGGATTTAAGAAAAAACTTTGTTTAAAGATACAGTAGTGCCAATAGGTGTTACATTAAACAAAATTATTATTATTGTGTTTAGATACTTACCTTTGTTCTGCAGTGCCTTTTATTTTAGTTATCTGGGTCTGCTCTTAACAAAAAATGGGCATCTTTACCTCAAAGAAGGCTGATTACACCAGGATGATGAATTTGTGAACTTGACACTTGTGAACTTGTCTATGGCTTGGGATAAACTTACTCTCTCAGGCCCTGCAGATAAATTCCACTAATCACTGAATCCTTTCTGTATCTTAGGAAACTACACGTGTATCACAACCAAGAAATCCGATGACACCAAGACCATCAGGTTTTTGGTTCTTTACTCTTTATGTACCTCCTAAGATGTGGCCTGCACATAATTTTTGTCACTAAATATTGCCATTTTTTTGAAGATTGTTTAGTATCGGAAAAAAGTTCATCCATCTTCCTGAATTATACTAGAGGGGCAGATGGAGTTAATCATTTTAATATTTCTTGTCCACCTGTTGCCAATATTATATTTAACTTTCTCATACTTTTTTCTCAGGTTTTTTGTCAACAAACTCAACACGTCACTTTGCTGATGCAGAGCGCATCCTTGAAGATGTTCAGCATCGGAGGCAAAATTTGGATAACAACTTGGATGCTGTGATAAGGCAAAGAGAAGAACAAGACTTATACAATCTGGTGGATAACATTCCAGTAACTAACAGGTAATAAGGAATTTGTCAAATGCTTGGCCTTGTTAAGTGCTCTGAGATGCATAACTGGCCCAAGAGAAACAACGTAAGGACAACTAGCTGAAACACAATTAAATTTCTAATGTACCATTTTTGTTTGGTAAATATTCATAGAGTTTGTCAATGTCAATGGCATAAATGGAATCAAGTGTAATCAAATTGAATAATGCAAATTATTTTAACACACAATAAAATCGGGACAATGCTATAAAGCTTAAGAGCTACACTGTATATACCTCAACAGTTAAAATGTGTAGTTTCAGAAAATATCATATTTCCCCCACAGAAGGGATTTTTTTCTAAAGGCCCCCCCACCCAACTCCTCTAGAAATTCAATTTGAGCTTCATACATTTCTTTAAATTGTTTGGTCTTATAGATCTAGAACCCCACCTCCATGAAATTCGAATCCCTTCTATGGGAGGAGTATGAATATTTTCTGGGACTGTACAATTAAAGAAATTTTTTATTCAATTGTGTTGTGCAGAAAACAACATACTCAATAAAATTATGTATATGATTATGCTAACCAGAGATGTTAACATATTTTGTGGCATCCTTACAGTGAGTTTGATGAAATGTTGAGAATAAAGAGGGAAGTGGACAAGAAAATAGGAGAGATCACTTCTACAGTGCAGGTGCGTTCATCTTTGTCGTGAGTATATACCTCTTACTAACAGAGTTTGAGGTCCGTACTGTAAGCTATGGACTGAGTTTTTTCCCCTTCGATTTATGGCCCAAGCGCGAGGATCCGTAACTTACAGTAGGGACCGAGAAGACGAGGTTGGTAAGATATTTATTATATCTCTACTGTGTCCCTGACGGGTTCAGAAACGTTTTGCATTCACACGGACTCGGAAATGCTTCAAATTTCTGATGCACCTCGAAAGCAAAACGAGTCAGTTTGAAACTGTTTTTAAGTCATTAGCACGCTTTATTACATAATTTAGAGTATAAGAAAGTTTTAAACTTTCACTTGCTGTAGACGTTAAGAACACTGAGCGATAAATCACGAAACACTTTGGCACGACAAAACCAACTTTAAACTTTAAATTGACCAATCACAGCACGTGTACAAACTGAGAGATATAATAAACATATATTACTCTCTTAAAATAAAATTATAGTTTTCTGTGTGGTTAGGTACAGTCATTTGCATTTTTTTTGTGATTTGTTTTCAGTCTGGAGCAAACAAACCAACAACTTATGTTACTTAAGACTTAAGACTTGCATCAAATATGATGTGATGTATTTTGCTGTCTCTCAATATCTGCAAATAAATACATCCATAACAGCATTGTGGTCCCTAGAAAATAAAAACTGGCTGGTTTTTTTTTTTCAATTGACTAGACTTATTGAACTACACAATTCCCAACAAAGAGTTAGGAACTTCTCGCATCTTAAGAGTGAAAAAAAAACCCATAGGTCTTTATCAGTTAAAACCTTTTTATGGGCACGAATTTAAACCATTGTTTAAACTTTGTAATTGACTGTATCTAAATCATGTGCAGGAATTAGATTTAGCTGGGGCAGCAGAAACCCTTGGGCTGTTTGAGCTCATCAGGCAGAGTCTAAGACATTAAAAAATTATTGTCTTGAAAATTTCAAAGTGGTTTTTTTTTTTAAGTTTTAAAATTTTTATAATGTCTTTAAAGTTTTAATGTCCTAGACATTGATGTGTGAATGAAGGTCAGCACAGAAAACAAATCAAATCCAAAATTGTTCTTGACTATTGGGTATGGTGCAGTATGTCCTTCTTTAATAATTTACATTTTGTGGTTGCAAAAATTGGCTAAATTACATCAGTGCCACTTGTACGTAGAGGGAATGATTGTTATATTTTCTTATCAGAGGGAAATTGACCAGGAAGCCAAAGGTATTTCCCAACAAAATGAAGATACTAATGCTTTGAAGAAGCAAAAGTCTCAGCCAGTCAAGGCTACACCATATGCAGCCAGAAGAATTGAACCAAAAGGTACAACAAGACCTGGCTCTATTACGGGAAAGAAGGCTGTTAGCAAAACCACTGGCAAGGAAAATGTGCCAGAGAAGATGGCTGCTAAGAAAGGCAAGGTAAGCAAAAGATAAATTTACTTACTACCCATCATGCCAAGGGGCAAGAATTTTAGAAGAGACTGTATGCAAGATTTTTGGGTAAAGGTTAAGAACAGCTCCCTTAACATACAGTGTCAATATTGTCTGTTGGGCGATTGTGTGTCATCTGTTGGCTGACTGTTGGCCTTACAGTCAGTTGACAAATGCCTGACAGTTGGCTAACAATTATCCTGATTTTTTTAGTCTAAAGTGTTGGCTGACAATCAGTAAACAGTACTGTCTATTTCAGTTTTCTGATATTTCACCTTTTTACCTTGNTATTAACCTAGCAGGAGGTCGATCTGTATGAGAGAATCTTGACCGAGGTCGTGAGTACAGACCGAACGAAACAAGGTCTGTAGACACGACCGAGGTCAAGATTCTCCCATACAGACCGACTAAGCTCGGTTAATAAGATGTTTATTATATGGCAAACAAGAACAATTTTTAAAAATCGTTTAATATAACTGGTTTGTACTAGCTGACATTTTGCTTGCGAACGGCGATGAGTCAAACTTAATTCTGCCAAAGTTTGCTCGTCCTCTGTGCTTTGTTTCTCATCAGGGTTTTTGGCACTTCCATAAATAAATAGTGTTAGAAGAAAGTAGTCAATATTTTTGCATTTTAGTTTTTTACTGCAAAATGTAACCAGTCTAGATGCCAGTCTAGATGCCGGTCTAGATGGGAAAATCTACACTGCTTTCAATATCGATTTCAGCCAATCAAATTCGTGAATTCAGTAGTTCCCAGTCCTTGTGAGACACAGCCATATAATAATAACAATTCATAATTCATAAATGGTTTTATAGGTCTTTTTCTAGGTTATAACATTTCAGAATGCACAACATCTGAACCTATACTGGTAGTTATTATGCCCCATACACAATAAATGAAACCTATAACTACTGTGCATTTTACTTGTGTTTCACCTGGTAAGATACGATTTGTTGTCATTATCAAGCCTTTATTCAGTTGTTTTTTGAGCATGATGACTGCATGATGTATACAATACATGAACTAACCATAAAGTGCTCTGCATTTATGTAATGCAATCCCAAATTAGTCACAGAAAAGAGAAAATTAGCAAGACAGGCTTCTGTGGAAATGATTCAGCAGCCAGGAGAGTTTTAAGAACTTTTAGAACACATTTTGGAAGGAGATAGCAGTTCTTTTTTCCTCCATAGCTTATCAATTCTAAATCACCTTTAATATTTCTGACTGGTAATTCTTATTTTAAAAAATTTGTCCCAAAAAATATTGGGAGGGGAGGGGGGGAGGCATGGGCCCCCAGCCTCCCTACTCCTACAGCCATGCTACTTTACAACATTAATAGCTCGAGATTTCTATCATGTGATAGTTGATGAGGGCACAGCCTGAGTCAACTATTATGCATAGAAATCGAGAGTGAATAATCAAATTGCTTCAGTATAAATTTACAAGTGGTTCAAAACTACACGTAAATCCTCTTTACAGACACTTCATAAACGCAAAAGAAGCAACCACAATTTTGCTAACAACTGTGTGTTGCTAGGCTACTCACTATCTACAACAGAATACATAGTGAGTAGCATAGGCAATAAGAGAACAACATTGGTGATGGAATGCCAGTAGATAAGTTTAAGTTTAGGTCAGTGTTATTATTAGTAGACTATGAGCAGTTGCCAGGCACCTTTACCTCCGATTTTATGTGTGAGAGGACATTTTATAGTTATTGAAGATTATTAACAAAAACTTAAATGATTTATTTCCCTGTCTCTCTTTGCTCACTGTTTGCATTCTGCCATTATCTCACTTTCTTCTCATGCTATTGAAAATTGGGAAAAGAAACTGCTTGTAGTCTATATGTTGTAGCTCTGGTAATAGTAAGAGTAAAGTTTGGTGCAAAATACTTGTTAGAAATAGATTTAATCTTTTTAAAAAGCATAGGATAAAATGATGCTTGTTCTCATCAGAAAGAGATATTCAGCGTCTTAATCTTTCAAACTTCCTTTTGTAGTCTACAAGGACCCAAGCCCCTCCAAAACGTCCTACTACAGTGACTCCAGCACAGAAACAAGTGTACCTGTCAAGTGTGTATGGCCGCCAACCTTATCACCCACAGAGAACAACCTCCAAGGCACCGTACCTACATTACCAGTCTCCTGTCAACCCTAAGACAGCTGCTATCATGGCTGGGATTATGGCAGGTGACAGCAGGGTGACAGCAAAACCAGTTCTACAGGATCTGACAAGTGTACCGGAGAAAGAGGTTCCAGAACCAAGAAAGAAAAAGGCAGATGGTGTTAAACCAGAACTCAGTCCTCGTGTTCAACCAACCAAGCAGAAGGATGATACACAGTATTTTTTTCACCCCAGAGTTGATTTGTCACAAGTTACACCTTGGGAGGGAAAGGCAAGGGTTGCTGTACCATTGGAAGGCCAGCTGGTTCCTATGGCTATCCCCCTGGGTAAGCCCAAGACTGACCCTGCATTACGGCCCCCTATTGCTACACAAGATGTACAACGTACAATCCCAGTGGAAGGTAATTTCTTGGGTTGATATGTGATGTTATCTACTTTGGTTTGTTGTAACATCTCTTATTATACACTTACATTCATCCTTGACAACAGAAAAAAAACTTCTATACTCATGTCTGAAGTAACTTTTAAGAGATTGATGGAGTAACTTTTGGCCAATTAGAGACCCTGAACCTGTTCTGAATGTCTCTCTCACAGGGTTAGGAAATGAACACAGCAAGAGGTGCATGTTTTCTTAGATTGGTTTCTGATCTAATTTGAAAATGTTAGACGTAATATTAAACTTAACTGTAACAGTAATATCTTAGTGTGCTGACTGCAGAATAAACAAATTTCACCATTGTCTGGGAGCTTTGTTATCATAATATTAGCTATGTAAGAGTACAGTTGGTTCTATGCCAACTAGCCTGCAAATGCAGACAGATTTTTGCCATTTGATTTTGGTGTCATGGAATAAGAACAAAAAACCTGTCCTTGTTTACATGTTAGTTTGAGCTGTCTCTTTCCTCTTGTAAGTAGATCCTTCAAGAGGTTTGTTTCTTGAAAAATATTTGTTATATAACCTGTCAAAAGCAGTGAGTTAAATTATGTGAAATTATACACTACATTTCCTCAAATAATAGCCCAGGGTGCTTAGTCTTTTTTTGCACCAAAAGGGGGAGATAGTTCGAGGAGATAGGGGTGGTTAAACAAGGGGGCGATTATTTCAAAAGTTGTTTCCCTAAATATTTTATGATAAAACACTGTCACAAAAGTGAAAACCTGCGCTTCTGTAAAATTTATATCCATTCAAGGAAGGCGATTAATTCAAACAATCCCACTAAAGGGGGGCGATTATTTGAGGGTGTGATTAATCAAGGGGCAGCATCATATCTTCAAAGTGATTGATTTACAGTACTGTTGATGGCATTTAAAGTGTGATAATTCAGCTTATTGATGAGATGAAAATGTGACATGACCAGTTTAAGATTAAGAAAATTTTTGTTTTATGTAATGTCTTGTTTTTCAAATCCAAAGATAAAGCAGAAAGCTCCTCAACAGACAGCACCATATCCACAGATACTTCTGAACCCCCATTACCAGACTCCACTCCTGTGAGGCCCAGTAAACCAACTCGGCCAAATGTGGCAGTGATTACGATGTATGACAAGGAACTGGGTGAGAACACAGCCCATCCGCATAAGCGACAGAAAAAATCCCCAGCCAAGAAAAAGCAAAGCGCTCTCTCTGTACAGGTAAGGACCAAAACGATTTGGATTAAAAAGGCTATGCAATGACATGATGTGCATGTCATTGTCTCCAATCTTCAACATAAAAATTGTCTTGCAACATTTTCGTGACAAAAAGTGATGGTGAAATCCAACTTTGCCAAAAGTTCCATGCTATTCCGCTAATTAAAAAACAAGATTTTCAATACAAGGTAAAAAGCTTCGGTAAATAAGACATACAGATCTTATCAAGTAATGGTTTTATAATGTTATTCTCGTTGTAGGTATTACCAAAAGTGGATATCGATAGTTTTTCAGAATCTGGATCTTCCTCACCAAGTCTGCCTCATGTTTCTGTAAGTCAAATGGCTGGGTGTTTGTTATGGTGGTGCTAACAGGTCAACCAATAGCACAAAGTTCAATGTTTTTGTCAGTTTTTCCAAACTTCCAAAAGCTGTGACATAAACGACGTAATGGAGAAATAACTGCCACTTGTTAATGTAACATAATACCACCTTTACCCTCATTATTTGAAGCTTTTTCCCAGTGTAACAAAGACTTACTTTGAGCTTTGTCGAATGTAACCTAAACAGTTTAGTACTGCCAATGAAAAACTGGCTGAGAGGCTCGTATGTCGAAAAATAATTCATAAAAAGTGGATGTTCCAGTCCGGGGGAACTCTCGTATAAAAATGACAGGCATGCTCGTCGTACCATTTAGGGCTTAAAAAAGCAGTTTTGGTACCTTGCAGGGTATTGAGCCGAAAAAATATGACAGGAGATAATGTGTTATGTAAGAATCGGTATCTCTTAGGGGAGAAAAAATTCAAGCCACGCCCAAAAGAATCAGAATTTCTGACGAGCACCCCCGTCCTTTTTAATATGAGAGTCCCCCAACGGGGGTTGGAATGCTCGATTTCCGCCACTTTCTCGGGTCTTGTCCACGGGATGGAGGCCAAGCTCCCCTCCCGAATAGCGGCTGATAATCGACCTTGATGTTTTGGCTGTGTATGCATAATTTGTTAGTGAAGACAGTATTGAAATCGAAATTTGATTTGTTGTATATCTCGGTTCAGGATATTCCAGAGCCTCTTTCCCGTCCTGATGATTCTGAGTACCAGGAATTCAGGAATTTTTTAGCGGTGACAGAGTCTGGGACGCGTGAACAACGTGAAGAACAGGTCTGTTAGTCTTGTTCCACTTTGGTTTTTTGAAACCTTTGTCTTAGACGGTTTTCTGGCTAATAATTCAACTGGAGTAATATTTGGTTTAGACATTTTCTCTTATGTAAAGCTAACAATCACCAGTCAGAAGTATTTTTGAATTGTGTTGATCCTGCGAGGTCGTCCTTTTAGTATTTTCTCGGGGCAGTTTCAGTAGTTAGAGGGTAGATTTTTGTTTCAGTGGAGTGCTTCGTTTTTGAGGTAAAGCGTTTTGAGGCAGCCTAATTCAATGTGATCTGTCATGTTGCAGAAACCAATGTTTTTCCCTTTTTAAATACTTTTATATATGCTTTTCAGAGTGTAAAATATGATACTTAAAGCATTCCAAAGTGCAGATGTACGTTACTGGAACCTTTTTGTCCACTATAATTATTGTACAGTGTACCAAATGGTAGACCAATAAGGCGGATCCATTCTAAGTTAACTAAGTTCTGTAATTTTCCAAACATTGCTTTTGTAATAACCTAATTGCAATGAACACCACAAATTTGAAATTGCGCCTGTTAATTTCTTTCTGTTAACTCTAAAATGTCTGCGTTTGTAGAAGTTTTCATCGCAAGCAAAATGATTGTATTACTTTTAGTGAAAATGATCCATATCTCTTTGGTCTTGTGTTTAAACTGTATGTTCCCAGGCTTTAGATGATGCAGATGATGACTTTCACCGAATCCCAACCCCTCAGCACCCGCTGACATTAGAGGGGTTCACAGGAGTACAAGATCAACCGTACAATGGCCCCCCATTTCCTCCCGTTCATCCCCCAGATTCTGTGCAACTTGCAGGGGGGGTCCTGGAAGCTGACACTCGACAAGAGGAAGCTCTGCAAGAGAGAGCTATGGAATGGTAAGGTCATCACGGATTTGCTCAATTTGATTCATGTTCTAATTCTTTCCTATGCCATGTATTCCCAGCTGTTCAGAAGCGGGACCAATTCCTTTACATGACAAGCTAAATATGTTTACTTCGGTGGAAAAAAAAGACCTAGTAACGAATTTTTTTCAGTTATGCACAAACTCCACAACTTGGACCTTACGGAAAATGCGCTGTTGTTAGTCACTAGCTAGACCCACCTAGTACCTCTACCAGGAACCTTATTTGTTAACTTGTGCTCTTGTTCCTAACAGAGCTGTAACTATTAGTAAGTTGAATAATCCTTTATTCGGGGGCAGATGAAAAGTGAGAAACAACTCGCTCGGAAGATTGTTAATCAATCGAGTCACTGATTTGAACTTCTTTCTCGTTAGGATTGAGCAGGAACTGTTGGCACGGATTGTTAGTGAAATGAACCCGCCAGCGCCTGACCCTACCACTCTGATTAGGCCGCAGTCTACCCCTGACAGTAGCACTGTATCTGAGCCCGAAGATGAAGATGCTGATATGCTTGGTGAGTGTAGGAAAATCACACTAGCGGTCATTTTTCAGTCATGTCAATACCTCGGCCGCTGCTCGGTAGCTTTACAGCTTAATAAATGTTGAATTAAAGGCAAAGGAGTTTGATTTGAAAACTAAGAATAGCATAAAAACGTTCCTATTATTGCGGTCGTTCATGATAAAGTAGTGATCTTCTAAAAATAACGTCAAGTTCAATCGTTAACCGGGTGATTTGTTTTCTTACGTTTTGCTCAAGCTGCCACCATAGGTCTGGGTGGAATTCAACTCTTTATTGACGCGGGTTTACCTGTGGATCGAGAACTTGTTACCAACTTGATTCGAGAAGTAATAGCGGAAAATATTTCTACAATTCTTGGACATCCAAAACCAAGGGCCAGCTCCGCGCCTTCAAGAGTAAGTGGCGTGTTTTTCTTTGTGTTGTTTGATAGACTGTGAGGTGTTTAATCTCAGGTTACTATTTATTTCTAGCAGCCAGTCTTGGAGGAAGAACATCCTTCACGTACACCTTCCCCCAGGGGGACGCCATTGCCAACCCCCATACCCACCCCTGAGTACACACCGCCAGAGTCGGAGGAAAGTGCTCATGAATCAGGAATACTAGCAACACCTGAACGCACTCCTACCCCGTCAGTAACAAGTGAAGAACCGACTCCGTCGGATACCAAAGAGGAAGAAAAAGTTTTTGAACCAATCAATGAAGAACTGCCTAAGGAAGAGCAGACAATTGACCAGGTTGGTTGGTTTTGTGGGCTATGTTCAGTGTTGGTAGTTCAGAGAGGACCCATCGAGTTAGCTTGAGTCGCATTCACGTTTTGTCAACAAATTTGTTATCTGCTTTTTAAGAAATTCGCGCTACAACGCAATAAGACCACAATACACACAGACTAACTAGCTGTTTTCTCATCTTATTGTAAATGTCTGAGGTAAGAACACCAGTATCTACTCCAGTCCCATCACCGCCTGCTGCTCAGTCCCCCGCAGTCAGTATATCGACACCTGAGCCTTCATTCCGAGAGCCAGAGTTATCTCAAGATACGGTGGTGCCCACGCCTCCACCGTNGATTTTATGTGTGAGAGGACATTTTATAGTTATTGAAGATTATTAACAAAAACTTAAATGATTTATTTCCCTGTCTCTCTTTGCTCACTGTTTGCATTCTGCCATTATCTCACTTTCTTCTCATGCTATTGAAAATTGGGAAAAGAAACTGCTTGTAGTCTATATGTTGTAGCTCTGGTAATAGTAAGAGTAAAGTTTGGTGCAAAATACTTGTTAGAAATAGATTTAATCTTTTTAAAAAGCATAGGATAAAATGATGCTTGTTCTCATCAGAAAGAGATATTCAGCGTCTTAATCTTTCAAACTTCCTTTTGTAGTCTACAAGGACCCAAGCCCCTCCAAAACGTCCTACTACAGTGACTCCAGCACAGAAACAAGTGTACCTGTCAAGTGTGTATGGCCGCCAACCTTATCACCCACAGAGAACAACCTCCAAGGCACCGTACCTACATTACCAGTCTCCTGTCAACCCTAAGACAGCTGCTATCATGGCTGGGATTATGGCAGGTGACAGCAGGGTGACAGCAAAACCAGTTCTACAGGATCTGACAAGTGTACCGGAGAAAGAGGTTCCAGAACCAAGAAAGAAAAAGGCAGATGGTGTTAAACCAGAACTCAGTCCTCGTGTTCAACCAACCAAGCAGAAGGATGATACACAGTATTTTTTTCACCCCAGAGTTGATTTGTCACAAGTTACACCTTGGGAGGGAAAGGCAAGGGTTGCTGTACCATTGGAAGGCCAGCTGGTTCCTATGGCTATCCCCCTGGGTAAGCCCAAGACTGACCCTGCATTACGGCCCCCTATTGCTACACAAGATGTACAACGTACAATCCCAGTGGAAGGTAATTTCTTGGGTTGATATGTGATGTTATCTACTTTGGTTTGTTGTAACATCTCTTATTATACACTTACATTCATCCTTGACAACAGAAAAAAAACTTCTATACTCATGTCTGAAGTAACTTTTAAGAGATTGATGGAGTAACTTTTGGCCAATTAGAGACCCTGAACCTGTTCTGAATGTCTCTCTCACAGGGTTAGGAAATGAACACAGCAAGAGGTGCATGTTTTCTTAGATTGGTTTCTGATATAATTTGAAAATGTTAGACGTAATATTAAACTTAACTGTAACAGTAATATCTTAGTGTGCTGACTGCAGAATAAACAAATTTCACCATTGTCTGGGAGCTTTGTTATCATAATATTAGCTATGTAAGAGTACAGTTGGTTCTATGCCAACTAGCCTGCAAATGCAGACAGATTTTTGCCATTTGATTTTGGTGTCATGGAATAAGAACAAAAAACCTGTCCTTGTTTACATGTTAGTTTGAGCTGTCTCTTTCCTCTTGTAAGTAGATCCTTCAAGAGGTTTGTTTCTTGAAAAATATTTGTTATATAACCTGTCAAAAGCAGTGAGTTAAATTACGTGAAATTATACACTACATTTCCTCAAATAATAGCCCAGGGTGCTTAGTCTTTTTTTGCACCAAAAGGGGGAGATAGTTCGAGGAGATAGGGGTGGTTAAACAAGGGGGCGATTATTTCAAAAGTTGTTTCCCTAAATATTTTATGATAAAACACTGTCACAAAAGTGAAAACCTGCGCTTCTGTAAAATTTATATCCATTCAAGGAAGGCGATTAATTCAAACAATCCCACTAAAGGGGGGCGATTATTTGAGGGTGTGATTAATCAAGGGGCAGCATCATATCTTCAAAGTGATTGATTTACAGTACTGTTGATGGCATTTAAAGTGTGATAATTCAGCTTATTGATGAGATGAAAATGTGACATGACCAGTTTAAGATTAAGAAAATTTTTGTTTTATGTAATGTCTTGTTTTTCAAATCCAAAGATAAAGCAGAAAGCTCCTCAACAGACAGCACCATATCCACAGATACTTCTGAACCCCCATTACCAGACTCCACTCCTGTGAGGCCCAGTAAACCAACTCGGCCAAATGTGGCAGTGATTACGATGTATGACAAGGAACTGGGTGAGAACACAGCCCATCCGCATAAGCGACAGAAAAAATCCCCAGCCAAGAAAAAGCAAAGCGCTCTCTCTGTACAGGTAAGGACCAAAACGATTTGGATTAAAAAGGCTATGCAATGACATGATGTGCATGTCATTGTCTCCAATCTTCAACATAAAAATTGTCTTGCAACATTTTCGTGACAAAAAGTGATGGTGAAATCCAACTTTGCCAAAAGTTCCATGCTATTCCGCTAATTAAAAAACAAGATTTTCAATACAAGGTAAAAAGCTTCGGTAAATAAGACATACAGATCTTATCAAGTAATGGTTTTATAATGTTATTCTCGTTGTAGGTATTACCAAAAGTGGATATCGATAGTTTTTCAGAATCTGGATCTTCCTCACCAAGTCTGCCTCATGTTTCTGTAAGTCAAATGGCTGGGTGTTTGTTATGGTGGTGCTAACAGGTCAACCAATAGCACAAAGTTCAATGTTTTTGTCAGTTTTTCCAAACTTCCAAAAGCTGTGACATAAACGACGTAATGGAGAAATAACTGCCACTTGTTAATGTAACATAATACCACCTTTACCCTCATTATTTGAAGCTTTTTCCCAGTGTAACAAAGACTTACTTTGAGCTTTGTCGAATGTAACCTAAACAGTTTAGTACTGCCTATGAAAAACTGGCTGAGAGGCTCGTATGTCGAAAAATAATTCATAAAAAGTGGATGTTCCAGTCCGGGGGAACTCTCGTATAAAAATGACAGGCATGCTCGTCGTACCATTTAGGGCTTAAAAAAGCAGTTTTGGTACCTTGCAGGGTATTGAGCCGAAAAAATATGACAGGAGATAATGTGTTATGTAAGAATCGGTATCTCTTAGGGGAGAAAAAATTCAAGCCACGCCCAAAAGAATCAGAATTTCTGACGAGCATCCCCGTCCTTTTTAATATGAGAGTCCCCCAACGGGGGTTGGAATGCTCGATTTCCGCCACTTTCTCGGGTCTTGTCCACGGGATGGAGGCCAAGCTCCCCTCCCGAATAGCGGCTGATAATCGACCTTGATGTTTTGGCTGTGTATGCATAATTTGTTAGTGAAGACAGTATTGAAATCGAAATTTGATTTGTTGTATATCTCGGTTCAGGATATTCCAGAGCCTCTTTCCCGTCCTGATGATTCTGAGTACCAGGAATTCAGGAATTTTTTAGCGGTGACAGAGTCTGGGACGCGTGAACAACGTGAAGAACAGGTCTGTTAGTCTTGTTCCACTTTGGTTTTTTGAAACCTTTGTCTTAGACGGTTTTCTGGCTAATAATTCAACTGGAGTAATATTTGGTTTAGACATTTTCTCTTATGTAAAGCTAACAATCACCAGTCAGAAGTATTTTTGAATTGTGTTGATCCTGCGAGGTCGTCCTTTTAGTATTTTCTCGGGGCAGTTTCAGTAGTTAGAGGGTAGATTTTTGTTTCAGTGGAGTGCTTCGTTTTTGAGGTAAAGCGTTTTGAGGCAGCCTAATTCAATGTGATCTGTCATGTTGCAGAAACCAATGTTTTTCCCTTTTTAAATACTTTTATATATGCTTTTCAGAGTGTAAAATATGATACTTAAAGCATTCCAAAGTGCAGATGTACGTTACTGGAACCTTTTTGTCCACTATAATTATTGTACAGTGTACCAAATGGTAGACCAATAAGGCGGATCCATTCTAAGTTAACTAAGTTCTGTAATTTTCCAAACATTGCTTTTGTAATAACCTAATTGCAATGAACACCACAAATTTGAAATTGCGCCTGTTAATTTCTTTCTGTTAACTCTAAAATGTCTGCGTTTGTAGAAGTTTTCATCGCAAGCAAAATGATTGTATTACTTTTAGTGAAAATGATCCATATCTCTTTGGTCTTGTGTTTAAACTGTATGTTCCCAGGCTTTAGATGATGCAGATGATGACTTTCACCGAATCCCAACCCCTCAGCACCCGCTGACATTAGAGGGGTTCACAGGAGTACAAGATCAACCGTACAATGGCCCCCCATTTCCTCCCGTTCATCCCCCAGATTCTGTGCAACTTGCAGGGGGGGTCCTGGAAGCTGACACTCGACAAGAGGAAGCTCTGCAAGAGAGAGCTATGGAATGGTAAGGTCATCACGGATTTGCTCAATTTGATTCATGTTCTAATTCTTTCCTATGCCATGTATTCCCAGCTGTTCAGAAGCGGGACCAATTCCTTTACATGACAAGCTAAATATGTTTACTTCGGTGGAAAAAAAAGACCTAGTAACGAATTTTTTTCAGTTATGCACAAACTCCACAACTTGGACCTTACGGAAAATGCGCTGTTGTTAGTCACTAGCTAGACCCACCTAGTACCTCTACCAGGAACCTTATTTGTTAACTTGTGCTCTTGTTCCTAACAGAGCTGTAACTATTAGTAAGTTGAATAATCCTTTATTCGGGGGCAGATGAAAAGTGAGAAACAACTCGCTCGGAAGATTGTTAATCAATCGAGTCACTGATTTGAACTTCTTTCTCGTTAGGATTGAGCAGGAACTGTTGGCACGGATTGTTAGTGAAATGAACCCGCCAGCGCCTGACCCTACCACTCTGATTAGGCCGCAGTCTACCCCTGACAGTAGCACTGTATCTGAGCCCGAAGATGAAGATGCTGATATGCTTGGTGAGTGTAGGAAAATCACACTAGCGGTCATTTTTCAGTCATGTCAATACCTCGGCCGCTGCTCGGTAGCTTTACAGCTTAATAAATGTTGAATTAAAGGCAAAGGAGTTTGATTTGAAAACTAAGAATAGCATAAAAACGTTCCTATTATTGCGGTCGTTCATGATAAAGTAGTGATCTTCTAAAAATAACGTCAAGTTCAATCGTTAACCGGGTGATTTGTTTTCTTACGTTTTGCTCAAGCTGCCACCATAGGTCTGGGTGGAATTCAACTCTTTATTGACGCGGGTTTACCTGTGGATCGAGAACTTGTTACCAACTTGATTCGAGAAGTAATAGCGGAAAATATTTCTACAATTCTTGGACATCCAAAACCAAGGGCCAGCTCCGCGCCTTCAAGAGTAAGTGGCGTGTTTTTCTTTGTGTTGTTTGATAGACTGTGAGGTGTTTAATCTCAGGTTACTATTTATTTCTAGCAGCCAGTCTTGGAGGAAGAACATCCTTCACGTACACCTTCCCCCAGGGGGACGCCATTGCCAACCCCCATACCCACCCCTGAGTACACACCGCCAGAGTCGGAGGAAAGTGCTCATGAATCAGGAATACTAGCAACACCTGAACGCACTCCTACCCCGTCAGTAACAAGTGAAGAACCGACTCCGTCGGATACCAAAGAGGAAGAAAAAGTTTTTGAACCAATCAATGAAGAACTGCCTAAGGAAGAGCAGACAATTGACCAGGTTGGTTGGTTTTGTGGGCTATGTTCAGTGTTGGTAGTTCAGAGAGGACCCATCGAGTTAGCTTGAGTCGCATTCACGTTTTGTCAACAAATTTGTTATCTGCTTTTTAAGAAATTCGCGCTACAACGCAATAAGACCACAATACACACAGACTAACTAGCTGTTTTCTCATCTTATTGTAAATGTCTGAGGTAAGAACACCAGTATCTACTCCAGTCCCATCACCGCCTGCTGCTCAGTCCCCCGCAGTCAGTATATCGACACCTGAGCCTTCATTCCGAGAGCCAGAGTTATCTCAAGATACGGTGGTGCCCACGCCTCCACCGTCTGTGGTTGTGAGGACCCCAACTCCGGAGCCTGAACCCGAGCCAGAGCTCAGCATGTAAGTTGTTAAAAAGTACAGCGTGAGCATGAGCTTATTAAAGTACCACCAGAATGTTTTAGACATCAGTTTATAGTATTATCCTTGAAATTTTAATTCAACTGCAGCTAGACAAACCCAATTTTGAAATAGAATCGAGTCATAAACTAATGTCTTAATGCTTTAGTTGACTTTGATAATTACATGAGTTTAAGGCTTCGAGTTCGTGTAAACCAACATCCTATGTTACTGCTGCTTATTGTAGAGCTGAAGAACCGAGCCCACCTACGGAACCATCTGTCAGTCAGAAGGTACTGACTCCTCCTAAGCCCGCGCAACCTTCGATCAGCAGTCCTTCGAGCATATCATCCACCACACTGGGTACCACGACAATAACTACTGAGGAGGAGATGTCTGAGGGAGAAATGATACAGGTTACTGCTTTACCCTCTCATCCCCAGCTAGTTGAGATCTGCTTGAATCAGCTGGTCCCCAACTCCCTAGGTTACTTTTATTCAGAGAATAACACGGAATGTTTCATTTAACATTAATTTCACAGTTGTAAAAAAAAAATTTGTAAAAAAGATGTGCTCTCATTCTGTATGATACATATTATATTATTACATCGTGTTCTTGGTGAATTCTTCAAATGCACCTTGTGTGAAAGCGACGAACGGTTAGGAATTACTCACCGTCAACTTCACCTTACCTTTTCATAGAAAATTTGGAGTTACAGTGGAATCTCGTTAATACGGTCACCAACGGACCCTGAAAAATTGGCCGTATTAACGACTGGTCTAAATAGAGTGACGTCGTAACAGATGTATCACAATCGCACTTCTAAACAAATGTTCCTTAATAAGCACCCGGAATGCAGAATATAATTTAAAAAAAATTGAAACTTTAATCAGTGTATAAAATATGAACAATGGAAAGCTGAACATAACTGGTTTGAGTGGCCGTATAAATGGGGTAAAATTATAAAGGACTATACAGGTTGGGATTTCAGAAGGTGGCCCGTTGGTCGTATTAACGACGTGGCCGCATTAACGGGGTTTTCTTAGAAGATAATGTATGGGCGTTTCGCCGGGACAGGTGCCAGCCGTAATAACGAGGTGACCGTAAGGCAGGGTTGCACTGTGTTTGGTATAATTGCCAATTATCTGATAGTGAATAACTTGAATTACTGAACTTAGGCTGTTAAAAACTGTATTGACTGTGGGTCCCTGCTTGCAATTTAAAATAACGTATAAGGTTATATGTACAAGAATCAATTTTGATTTTGTTCACGACGCCCTATGGTTTATAATATATGTTTAGATGTAAGGAATAATTTTTTATTATTGTGGTTGATTTTCAGCCTTATGTACACGTTGGTATGTACAGTGAAGGAGAGTTTGCTGTGTCACCAACCATTGTTCAACTGGCTGCCCAAAGAAAATTACCTGTGAGTGGAGACTGGGACACAGCCATGTTAGGACAAGATGAAGGTAAAGATTTCCCCTTGATTACACCTTTCACTTACATTACTGTTAGTTACTTCTTTGAATTAATAAGCTTAAGGATTGTGTGCAAGTAAGTGTCACTTTACAAAGTCCCAAACAGGCTTTGTACCTTCACAGTTTTTTTTTTTTTCACTTGTCCTGCGGGAGTACAACAAAGGTAAAGCCTTTTCGTGTTGTTGACTCGTTTCAGTTCTATGCTCCCTCGCTTGGAAAAATTCCAGAATCCTGCACTCGGTCTATAGATGGCTGTTACTCACAGATTACATATTTGTGTTTCCGAGGCATGGATTCAATGTGTAATGACAACTTGCAAGCAAAGCCTGTATATGAATTAAATTCTCTCCTTGACTACACTACGAACAGTCGATTTTGTTTCTGAAATCCTCCGCACGATTGGACAAGTTAAAATTATGCAAATAAGAAAAGAAACGAGATCGCAGCTCGATCGTTCTTCTTTTTTCTTCGCATTCGTGTATTCGCTTCGCACGCTAGGGGAAGAAAGAGACTGCTCGAAATCTACGAGTACACTTTTTTATGACCAAATGCGCAACGTATCTTGCTAACATTTATCTTTGTATTACAAACTATCTTGACTTTTTGCTTGTCCAAGTGATCAAATCTTAAGTGAGTTAACAATCTGCCTTCAATGTTATTGGGCTTTAGTTAAGCTCGCGTACGTTTCTGGAAATTATTATAACCAAGCATTAACCGAGAGCATTATGCGTCCCTAGACAGTCGTAACGAGCTCGTGAGAGTCGCTCTTAACGGTATCTTACAAGGTGGAGAAGGCAAACGCCGTAACAGCAGCAGTAGTGTTAGTGAGTCCATGTACCAGGTCAGCAGTGCTAGTACTCTGAGAGATACAGAGGACATCAGAGAGGTAACGTCGGGCAAACTTACTGCTTTATCTTCAATGTCAATGTTGTTCCTTGTTTTATAAACTGTCCCTTAAGATCATGAAGAGCTCAGTTTGCTCGGCTTAATAACGGTAGGCGTCAGATCTTACTTGATCTGTTTCAAATACCTCGTGGTTTACGTTAAAATTCCGAAAAGACCCTCCGGGTTACTTTGTTGGAATGTCTCTTAAGGTGATGGGCTTATGTTAGTTCTGAGGCAGGTTCATTATTTGAAGGAGTTAGGCGTACTGAAGGCTTGTCGTTCTCGAAACAAAGGGTGGCAGCGTGTGCAGTGCTGAGCTAAAATCGTGAGATGTATTAGGGGTTTTCAGTCTGAGAAAATGATTTTCTATTAGTTGTATTTCCTTGGGCCTATATTCGCGAGGTACTGGCTGGTGGCTTTTTGCGTATGACATGATCGGAATTTAACTGTGTTTACTGGGTTAAACACAAACATACGTAAGCTGGTGCTGTATGCTGGAAATAGAAACACTATGACTTCATTACTCAAACCCTCAAAAGGCTACGGACATCTTTTTGGCTGTGTTCTCAGACCCTCTTTCCCTTCTAAAGGATTCTATCACTGACGTTACACACAGTGAAGGAGAAGTTCCTGTGCAAGATCCAATGGCGGTTCTTTTGAACCGCATTCAAAATCACATGAGGTCAGCGGAGAACAGTATGGCCAGTGAAGGAGAGCTCTTAACAGAGCATCTGCGCACGCCCGACCTGAGCCAAGATAAACGTGGAAAAAGAAACTACGGTGAAACAGGTTAGTAACAAAGGAATTTAGTGCCAAGAACTGAAGCAGTTGGGCGAAAAAGATTTTGTTCAAAAACGAGTACCCCGTGAAAACCTGAAGCATTCCACTTCATTCTTAATCGTTCAGGGATTTTTTCCTTTGTTTATCTTAAATTATTATATGGCTAACTCCATGATCGGACGAGAGGAACCAAATCCTGCGCTGTGATTGGCTACCCGAGCGGGCAAGATGACGCTATCTTGCCCGCTGTTGTGTCCCGCAAAAAAAGCTTCCCCGAAAGCCATATAAGAAACTCTCTATTGATCAAGCTTGTTCGGTCAAGATGGTTGGATACTGGCCTCGTTCTGTTTTGGGAGTTAATGGACTCCGTCTCGGTCCATAAACACGCAAAAAATAAAACAGCTTGGACGATATCCGCCATCTTGACCTCACGCTTGATCAATAACCCATACTTATGACCACTTTATTAGGTATTTTCTACTTTTGATCCTTTTGAAAGCTCGTAACTGACAACCTGTACTTATTGCTGTCCTCTGTTGCTAGCTCCTGGGAACATTTCTCCCGGTGAAATAGTAGGGGAGCCCCCGGGTGTAATGAGAGAGCTTCACCCCGGGTCAGCTGACTTCACACTTGATGATGTTGCTGGGGATAAGGAGCAGATTCCCACAACAGCTGTACGCGAAGTTGCACCGATGACTGCCGACGAAGGGCCGAGTCACGGCGATCGTTCTCTTCATGCGTCGGACTTGATTCCGGGAACACTCGGAACAGACACTGCTTCTCCGGCGCTTACACAACAGCAACGATCTAAGCCGAGGGTGATTCACGTTGAAGAACGAGAAAGTGAAGCATCAGGGTCACATTCACCAAAGACATATTCACTTGGCGAGCGCAGGAGAGAGATCACTGCTCCTCCTGAAGATAACGATAAACAGGATCCAGTAGATGTTAGCGGGTTAGACTTGGCGAGTACGAGGAGTAGAGTTAGTGAAGCAGAAGCCAAAGAAATAGAACCACAACAACCCACTAAAATCCAAGTGACTTTACCTTCAGTTGATGATGTTCACGAAGAGAGCTCTCTAGCAAGCGAACATCCTGTTTCTATTGAACAAGATACAATCGGCGATGTGTCATCCATTTCAGGGGGTGATTTCTGATTAGGAGAATAGTAATGATAGTTATGTGTAATAAAACTCATGGGTTATGTCATTAAAAATCTGTCGTAGATTTTTATTTTGGGTCTTCCCACTCTGTCATTTTAGCGAGCACGAGAAAAACAAAAGTTAATTGTTGCGTTAACAAACATTAGACCCCGCCCACACAACGCAGGAGAAATTTGAAATGGGCGTTTTCCCTGTGACAACACATCAAATGTTTTCCGTCCTGCTCCACACTACGTCAGATAAATTTGATAAGCAACAATAACCGGCCATGTTGGATTTGTGTTTGGGAAAGGCCTTGGCAGGGAAATCACATGATTATTGTCACGGAATCGTTTTTAAAAAGCACCATTTTCAAAATGTTTTCCGGCGTTTTCAAGCTCATCCTGTTTAAAGAGCGTTTTCGAAAAGACGTTTTCGTGACGGATTAGTGTGGACGGTAGGCCTAACCGTTGAAATAAAGCTGCGTTTTCAAATTTCTCCGGCGTAGTGTGGACAGGGCCTTCCTCTACTCTTCATGTGGCTCTGGGCGACGCTCTGGGCTGTACCAGAGGCTCATTATGTCACAGACATTTTGTCTCATTTATGTCTCTATACACTCCTGGCTATACACATCAACGCCACCTCTTGCGGTAAACACTGTTTTCGTGTTCTTTGTTTCATCAGAATGACAACCAAAGCTCGTGGCAAAGTTGCCCGACGCTTACTTTCGAGCGCATTTTAAGAACTTGTTCGCGTCTCACAAGTTTTTCAAAACAGAGGAAAAGAATAATAAGAACAAGGGACTTAGTGCCGGTGCTGACCAAACAATGCGGCATTTCCTTTTTGGGGTATTGCGGTATTTGACGATTGTTTTTTGCGGCAATGCGGTGTTCGGGGGCCCATAATGTCTCTTCCTCAAAAAATTTAACGAAGGGAATTCAAAACGGAAGCAAAATTATGGGAGGAAGAGCCTATATACGTTTCGTTACACTTCCTGCTTTGAGCTTCCTGTATTTCTGTGGCGGTCTTATTAGTCTAAAATAAACCAATGATACTTTCGGGAAGGAAACCAGNGTGGGCTATGTTCAGTGTTGGTAGTTCAGAGAGGACCCATCGAGTTAGCTTGAGTCGCATTCACGTTTTGTCAACAAATTTGTTATCTGCTTTTTAAGAAATTCGCGCTACAACGCAATAAGACCACAATACACACAGACTAACTAGCTGTTTTCTCATCTTATTGTAAATGTCTGAGGTAAGAACACCAGTATCTACTCCAGTCCCATCACCGCCTGCTGCTCAGTCCCCCGCAGTCAGTATATCGACACCTGAGCCTTCATTCCGAGAGCCAGAGTTATCTCAAGATACGGTGGTGCCCACGCCTCCACCGTCTGTGGTTGTGAGGACCCCAACTCCGGAGCCTGAACCCGAGCCAGAGCTCAGCATGTAAGTTGTTAAAAAGTACAGCGTGAGCATGAGCTTATTAAAGTACCACCAGAATGTTTTAGACATCAGTTTATAGTATTATCCTTGAAATTTTAATTCAACTGCAGCTAGACAAACCCAATTTTGAAATAGAATCGAGTCATAAACTAATGTCTTAATGCTTTAGTTGACTTTGATAATTACATGAGTTTAAGGCTTCGAGTTCGTGTAAACCAACATCCTATGTTACTGCTGCTTATTGTAGAGCTGAAGAACCGAGCCCACCTACGGAACCATCTGTCAGTCAGAAGGTACTGACTCCTCCTAAGCCCGCGCAACCTTCGATCAGCAGTCCTTCGAGCATATCATCCACCACACTGGGTACCACGACAATAACTACTGAGGAGGAGATGTCTGAGGGAGAAATGATACAGGTTACTGCTTTACCCTCTCATCCCCAGCTAGTTGAGATCTGCTTGAATCAGCTGGTCCCCAACTCCCTAGGTTACTTTTATTCAGAGAATAACACGGAATGTTTCATTTAACATTAATTTCACAGTTGTAAAAAAAAAATTTGTAAAAAAGATGTGCTCTCATTCTGTATGATACATATTATATTATTACATCGTGTTCTTGGTGAATTCTTCAAATGCACCTTGTGTGAAAGCGACGAACGGTTAGGAATTACTCACCGTCAACTTCACCTTACCTTTTCATAGAAAATTTGGAGTTACAGTGGAATCTCGTTAATACGGTCACCAACGGACCCTGAAAAATTGGCCGTATTAACGACTGGTCTAAATAGAGTGACGTCGTAACAGATGTATCACAATCGCACTTCTAAACAAATGTTCCTTAATAAGCACCCGGAATGCAGAATATAATTTAAAAAAAATTGAAACTTTAATCAGTGTATAAAATATGAACAATGGAAAGCTGAACATAACTGGTTTGAGTGGCCGTATAAATGGGGTAAAATTATAAAGGACTATACAGGTTGGGATTTCAGAAGGTGGCCCGTTGGTCGTATTAACGACGTGGCCGCATTAACGGGGTTTTCTTAGAAGATAATGTATGGGCGTTTCGCCGGGACAGGTGCCAGCCGTAATAACGAGGTGACCGTAAGGCAGGGTTGCACTGTGTTTGGTATAATTGCCAATTATCTGATAGTGAATAACTTGAATTACTGAACTTAGGCTGTTAAAAACTGTATTGACTGTGGGTCCCTGCTTGCAATTTAAAATAACGTATAAGGTTATATGTACAAGAATCAATTTTGATTTTGTTCACGACGCCCTATGGTTTATAATATATGTTTAGATGTAAGGAATAATTTTTTATTATTGTGGTTGATTTTCAGCCTTATGTACACGTTGGTATGTACAGTGAAGGAGAGTTTGCTGTGTCACCAACCATTGTTCAACTGGCTGCCCAAAGAAAATTACCTGTGAGTGGAGACTGGGACACAGCCATGTTAGGACAAGATGAAGGTAAAGATTTCCCCTTGATTACACCTTTCACTTACATTACTGTTAGTTACTTCTTTGAATTAATAAGCTTAAGGATTGTGTGCAAGTAAGTGTCACTTTACAAAGTCCCAAACAGGCTTTGTACCTTCACAGTTTTTTTTTTTCACTTGTCCTGCGGGAGTACAACAAAGGTAAAGCCTTTTCGTGTTGTTGACTCGTTTCAGTTCTATGCTCCCTCGCTTGGAAAAATTCCAGAATCCTGCACTCGGTCTATAGATGGCTGTTACTCACAGATTACATATTTGTGTTTCCGAGGCATGGATTCAATGTGTAATGACAACTTGCAAGCAAAGCCTGTATATGAATTAAATTCTCTCCTTGACTACACTACGAACAGTCGATTTTGTTTCTGAAATCCTCCGCACGATTGGACAAGTTAAAATTATGCAAATAAGAAAAGAAACGAGATCGCAGCTCGATCGTTCTTCTTTTTTCTTCGCATTCGTGTATTCGCTTCGCACGCTAGGGGAAGAAAGAGACTGCTCGAAATCTACGAGTACACTTTTTTATGACCAAATGCGCAACGTATCTTGCTAACATTTATCTTTGTATTACAAACTATCTTGACTTTTTGCTTGTCCAAGTGATCAAATCTTAAGTGAGTTAACAATCTGCCTTCAATGTTATTGGGCTTTAGTTAAGCTCGCGTACGTTTCTGGAAATTATTATAACCAAGCATTAACCGAGAGCATTATGCGTCCCTAGACAGTCGTAACGAGCTCGTGAGAGTCGCTCTTAACGGTATCTTACAAGGTGGAGAAGGCAAACGCCGTAACAGCAGCAGTAGTGTTAGTGAGTCCATGTACCAGGTCAGCAGTGCTAGTACTCTGAGAGATACAGAGGACATCAGAGAGGTAACGTCGGGCAAACTTACTGCTTTATCTTCAATGTCAATGTTGTTCCTTGTTTTATAAACTGTCCCTTAAGATCATGAAGAGCTTTGCTCGGCTTAATAACGGTAGGCGTCAGATCTTACTTGATCTGTTTCAAATACCTCGTGGTTTACGTTAAAATTCCGAAAAGACCCTCCGGGTTACTTTGTTGGAATGTCTCTTAAGGTGATGGGCTTATGTTAGTTCTGAGGCAGGTTCATTATTTGAAGGAGTTAGGCGTACTGAAGGCTTGTCGTTCTCGAAACAAAGGGTGGCAGCGTGTGCAGTGCTGAGCTAAAATCGTGAGATGTATTAGGGGTTTTCAGTCTGAGAAAATGATTTTCTATTAGTTGTCTTTCCTTGGGCCTATATTCGCGAGGTACTGGCTGGTGGCTTTTTGCGTATGACATGATCGGAATTTAACTGTGTTTACTGGGTTAAACACAAACATACGTAAGCTGGTGCTGTATGCTGGAAATAGAAACACTATGACTTCATTACTCAAACCCTCAAAAGGCTACGGACATCTTTTTGGCTGTGTTCTCAGACCCTCTTTCCCTTCTAAAGGATTCTATCACTGACGTTACACACAGTGAAGGAGAAGTTCCTGTGCAAGATCCAATGGCGGTTCTTTTGAACCGCATTCAAAATCACATGAGGTCAGCGGAGAACAGTATGGCCAGTGAAGGAGAGCTCTTAACAGAGCATCTGCGCACGCCCGACCTGAGCCAAGATAAACGTGGAAAAAGAAACTACGGTGAAACAGGTTAGTAACAAAGGAATTTAGTGCCAAGAACTGAAGCAGTTGGGCGAAAAAGATTTTGTTCAAAAACGAGTACCCCGTGAAAACCTGAAGCATTCCACTTCATTCTTAATCGTTCAGGGATTTTTTCCTTTGTTTATCTTAAATTATTATATGGCTAACTCCATGATCGGACGAGAGGAACCAAATCCTGCGCTGTGATTGGCTACCCGAGCGGGCAAGATGACGCTATCTTGCCCGCTGTTGTGTCCCGCAAAAAAGCTTCCCCGAAAGCCATATAAGAAACTCTCTATTGATCAAGCTTGTTCGGTCAAGATGGTTGGATACTGGCCTCGTTCTGTTTTGGGAGTTAATGGACTCCGTCTCGGTCCATAAACACGCAAAAAATAAAACAGCTTGGACGATATCCGCCATCTTGACCTCACGCTTGATCAATAACCCATACTTATGACCACTTTATTAGGTATTTTCTACTTTTGATCCTTTTGAAAGCTCGTAACTGACAACCTGTACTTATTGCTGCCCTCTGTTGCTAGCTCCTGGGAACATTTCTCCCGGTGAAATAGTAGGGGAGCCCCCGGGTGTAATGAGAGAGCTTCACCCCGGGTCAGCTGACTTCACACTTGATGATGTTGCTGGGGATAAGGAGCAGATTCCCACAACAGCTGTACACGAAGTTGCACCGATGACTGCCGACGAAGGGCCGAGTCACGGCGATCGTTCTCTTCATGCGTCGGACTTGATTCCGGGAACACTCGGAACAGACACTGCTTCTCCGGCGCTTACACAACAGCAACGATCTAAGCCGAGGGTGATTCACGTTGAAGAACGAGAAAGTGAAGCATCAGGGTCACATTCACCAAAGACATATTCACTTGGCGAGCGCAGGAGAGAGATCACTGCTCCTCCTGAAGATAACGATAAACAGGATCCAGTAGATGTTAGCGGGTTAGACTTGGCGAGTACGAGGAGTAGAGTTAGTGAAGCAGAAGCCAAAGAAATAGAACCACAACAACCCACTAAAATCCAAGTGACTTTACCTTCAGTTGATGATGTTCACGAAGAGAGCTCTCTAGCAAGCGAACATCCTGTTTCTATTGAACAAGATACAATCGGCGATGTGTCATCCATTTCAGGGGGTGATTTCTGATTAGGAGAATAGTAATGATAGTTATGTGTAATAAAACTCATGGGTTATGTCATTAAAAATCTGTCGTAGATTTTTATTTTGGGTCTTCCCACTCTGTCATTTTAGCGAGCACGAGAAAAACAAAAGTTAATTGTTGCGTTAACAAACATTAGACCCCGCCCACACAACGCAGGAGAAATTTGAAATGGGCGTTTTCCCTGTGACAACACATCAAATGTTTTCCGTCCTGCTCCACACTACGTCAGATAAATTTGATAAGCAACAATAACCGGCCATGTTGGATTTGTGTTTGGGAAAGGCCTTGGCAGGGAAATCACATGATTATTGTCACGGAATCGTTTTTAAAAAGCACCATTTTCAAAATGTTTTCCGGCGTTTTCAAGCTCATCCTGTTTAAAGAGCGTTTTCGAAAAGACGTTTTCGTGACGGATTAGTGTGGACGGTAGGCCTAACCGTTGAAATAAAGCTGCGTTTTCAAATTTCTCCGGCGTAGTGTGGACAGGGCCTTCCTCTACTCTCCATGTGGCTCTGGGCGACGCTCTGGGCTGTACCAGAGGCTCATTATGTCACAGACATTATGTCTCATTTATGTCTCTATACACTCCTGGCTATACACATCAACGCCACCTCTTGCGGTAAACACTGTTTTCGTGTTCTTTGTTTCATCAGAATGACAACCAAAGCTCGTGGCAAAGTTGCCCGACGCTTACTTTCGAGCGCATTTTAAGAACTTGTTCGCGTCTCACAAGTTTTTCAAAACAGAGGAAAAGAATAATAAGAACAAGGGACTTAGTGCCGGTGCTGACCAAACAATGCGGCATTTCCTTTTTGGGGTATTGCGGTATTTGACGATTGTTTTTTGCGGCAATGCGGTGTTCGGGGGCCCATAATGTCTCTTCCTCAAAAAATTTAACGAAGGGAATTCAAAACGGAAGCAAAATTATGGGAGGAAGAGCCTATATACGTTTCGTTACACTTCCTGCTTTGAGCTTCCTGTATTTCTGTGGCGGTCTTATTAGTCTAAAATAAACCAATGATACTTTCGGGAAGGAAACCAGGGCTTTTTTAAAAATGTCTAACGAATCTTTCTTTCTTTAATCTTTAATCATTATTTATACACGGTAAAAACATCAGATAGAAAATGAATGAAGCCAAACAAATCTTGTTTGTCCAGCGCTTCCTTTTCCTTGTGCCAAGACCCCGACGGCTAGCAGGCACGACTATACGGATACTCCTACGTCATTACTGCGTGGTTGCAAAATTAGTTGATAGCTCGTGTATCAACTTGCAACTGTCCTACACACTCGTTCTCTATTCGTGTTGTTGCGTAGCAACGTAGCAACTGCGTGGATGAACGCCATATCTTGGATTGGGACGTGATTGCAACGGAGAAGGATTTTTATTCACACAAATTTAAAAACAAAAAAATTAACCTTGGCGAATGTCGATGGTAACATCCGTTGGTTTTGTATGGTGTGATCAAACCTTGTGATCAACTCTAGCCTGCTTAGCTACGGATCGACCAATAACTTGCGCGGTTTTCAAAGGCCCTGGGTTCGTCTACGTACGGGATTTCAATCTATTGAACCTCCTCATTGGTCAATTTCAGCGAGACTGCATTGCCGTAAAGTGCGATTGACCTTCGATTGACCCAGTTGCGAAATTGTCGGGACGTAAGAAATTTGAAGTTTCGTCATTGTGAAGATCGCTTTCCGTTGTGCGGATCCGGAACTTTAAGTTCAAGTAAAGGTAGTTTGTTTTCGCCTGAAAATGGGTGATACCGATGCAAAATCCACAAAGCCATTTAAACAGCGGAAGAGTTTCGGTAAGCCATTTGATTTGTATGCAATCTCCATATGGTACCTTTGTTGTTGTGGTGGACGGCACCGTGCAAACTTTAAGCTTATGTGCGATGGTATTTTCCTTCATTCAGTTAGTCGTAGAGATGAAGTGGCAGGAATCAGAGCGAAGTTCCCATCCAAAATACCAGTAAGTGTGATTTAGCGACTATCTCGCCATTCTTACAATATTCGCTCTCATCTATCAAGCTTCGCTACTCTTTATTGAAGGTAAACAACTTTGTGGATTTCACTTGGTTTTAAAATGTGCTTGTGTTGCAGGTTATAGTCGAAAGATATCATAAAGAAAAAGATCTTCCGTTACTTGACAAAACGAAATTTCTCGTTCCTCAAGAGCTGACCATGAGCCAATTCGTTACTATAATTAGGTAAGTCGTTGAAAAACCATTGTTTGCCATTTTGTAACTCGCATAAGCATGAGCGGAACTTGTTCGATGTCTGCACGTTCTCGGGTTATGCGAACACTTCATCTCTAAAGTTGGCGCAAGTCAAAAGCTTTACAATCGATCGTAGATCGACAAATACATACGACACGAGAATACGTTCACATATTATTTGTTTGATTTTAGCAATTATGTAAACGTTAAATTAAAAATTGCATGCGTGGTGATGAAAAATGTTACAAGGACGCTTTGGCAAGTCGTGGAGTTGGTTGAACTAATAGTCTTATAAGGTCATGGAAACGATTCCTGTCAAGCGACCTTTGTTTTTTCTTTGCACGTGTAGTGTGTTTGTACAGATTTACGTGCAGAAACGCCATGCTGTGCCTTGATCACAACAAAACTACTCTCACTGCCATCTTGTTGTATTCAGTATCAGTGTGAAGCTTGTTTTTGTATATTTAAGCAAATCACGACATGAATAAATCTCATCTTTCTCTGTAAATGAGCTAACAATACAAAAGGCTAGTTTAAAAATAATTTGCTGGAGTTTGTTACTCCTCCATTTGATACTTGGGTAATTTTATATATCAATAGGCATTGTTCTCTTCTCTAGAACGTGAAACGGTTGATCACTGCCAAGAAATCTTGCACTAAACAAATTAAGGACACTTATTTTCCTTAGAATTCTTAAGGTTTGCCAGCCTAAACAGGCAATGTGTTTTGAATAAGCCTATTGATTCTCAAGTAATTGAATAACATCTCTTGAAATTTTGTCTGTGTAGTTATTTGTTTTACTTTTATGTTTCAACGTGTTGGCCAATTTTTCCTTAAATCTAGTTGTGCACGTATGACCTTTCATAAAACAACAAAAAGCAGGGTCAAAAAATTGGCTCATATGGAACCTTTGCATCTCATGTTCAAGATGTGTGCTAATCTGACCTCATCTGGTACATGGTTTAATAAAAGCTAAGTTTAGGTTTATGTTAAATTTGTAAAATGGTCTACTATATAGTTAACAACGTATGTATGTTAGTGAACTACTAGCATGAGATCTGTATTCAGGAAGCATTTGTCAGGTTCTCTTTTTACAAAGCAGTTGTTTAGCACAATGGTTCTTTTAATATTCTGCTGGTAAATTAATGTATCCAGGCTGTAATCCATTTTCAGCAAGGGCAAAAGATACTTACTTACATGTACATGATTATTCAGCTTGTTTTTATGAAAGTTAAACCCAAACTGTCTGCCAAATACGAAGGAGAATGATTTTTACTTAACAGCAAGCTGTTTCTTTTACACCATGTTTTGAAAAAGCAATTAACCAGATCTAGTTTGTGAGCAGTCCATCTTAGTCGTTCTTATTACAAAATTCCAACCTTTTCAGGAACGAGTCAGAGTTCTCTTTTCACATGTATCTTGGACTAGTGTTTGTCTAGATAAATGTTCTTTTGTTGTAAGATGGTGCCATTTTGAAGTATTGATCAAAATGTTTTGACTGCTGTAGCAGTAGCCTTCATCACACAATGTTTTGATAGTTTTTGTGTTGCTATTTTTAGCATATTGTTTTGCTGCTAAAAAGGGTTTCTTTCTTTTAATAATAGCCTGTATTCCAATGAATTCTCTTTCCAGAAAGTGATGATGTTGTAGAAGAGATAGTCAAGTAATTGACATAGAATGGACTTGCTAGAAAAGGAAATTTTAGGATCTCTTCTCTTTTGAACATATTGTTGAACATGTATGTTGAACATGTATGTAGAACATATCGAATTGAATTGGATTGGATTGGATTTTTCCATAGCATTTTCTATAGAATTCGTAGTTGCATTTGTGGAACATCTTTAGCTTAGTAGCCAGGCATTTTCCACGGAACTAGTTTCTAGGCTCTTTGCCTAAAGTAGATTGGAACGTCTGGAGGTTAAAAATTCGTCACAAATGAAATTAGCTTGTGAACAGGCTTCTGGCGAGTTGCTGGATGGAAAAATGAAAGGCTGTGTGCAAGAATGTCCCCTAGAATTTTTGGCTATTTTGAAAGTGCTCAAAAATAGCTGAATTTTGGCATGTGGGCTTTGTTTTACCTGAGAAACATTGCTCTGAACTTTTTTTTTGCTGGGGTGCTCTTCGTTCTCGAGAAATAACGTATGCAAAAAACTCAGTTTTCCAAGTGGCATCTTTTGGAGATCTTTTGTTGAACGAAAAGCAAAAGAGACCTTCTTATTATTTTGTTGAACAGCAAACAGGCAGACTGCTTATTAGTGTATTCCACTGAATTTTAGCTGTCTTAACCCAAAGGAAAATAGTATCTAGAGCAGAAATCTGGGAACAGATTGCTTACGTTGGTTATTGTGACATGAACACAACACGTGAATTGATCGAGCGTCAAACGAAGTACCATCGAACCAAAAAGAGATGTGCTGCATTAGAGCTCTGTCAACTAATATCTTAATCATTGTTTTAAAGTACCTTGTATGCCTGCCTGGTGTTTGAGAGGGATGATAAAGCCTCGATAAACCCCTAAGTCATCAGCACGTTTTAAAGAATCAAAATGTGCTCTGAAACTTCGAAGGCAGCTGATATACTGTAATCGTGTTAT